CCCTACCGTATCGGTCGTACAGACCGTAAATATCGGATAACAGACCCAAAACAGTAGGCAGTTTTAATGGTAGGAAACGGTTCAATCATGGTTAAACCATGAGTTTAGTACAAAATACCTTACCGCTCACTTTTCCGGTATAACCTACGGTACTGTTCATGAACCATGGTTTGGATACTAGTCTGTGTTATCTGGATATTAGTCTGCGTTCTCATGTATACTTTAGTTTACTTAATAAAAGCAACAGGCATGGATACTAGTTAGTGAATTTTGGATATCAATTTTTCTCGACTGGATACGAGTTCTCTCAGCAGAAAAGCCACCACAATCAACTTAATTTAGCCCTTCCTTGAGCAACTGAGCGCCAACCACTAGATCTTGACTTTGCCCATATGGCCTCCCATCTCACCCCAGCAAGAGGAAGGATCAGGTGCCTAGGGGGAGTGCTTAGCCACTTGACTAAACACCTCTCAACCCTTAGATCATGAATAATTCACCGATTAAAAAATGGGAAGGATTTTTTAATTACTGACAGGGGTAGTTTGAGTATTATGAAAAATTATGAAGCATACAAAATGGATCTACAAACAGTATAAACCATACAAATATACAAACAGTACAAACTAGAACGACAAAATATACAAACAGATTTAAAAACAATACAAATATACGAACTGTACAAACAATACAAAGTAGACCGACAAACAATACAAACCATAAAAAAAAGGAAAAACAATCAGGTTGACTTTGGAGGCTCCATCCCTATATAGAGGGGCACCGTCCCAAAGTCAATCCGATTGTTTTGTAGACATACAAACATTACAAACATGGTGGACAAAAATTACAAAGTAGACCGACAAACCGTACAAAATGAAAAACACCCGAGGCTCCATCTCTATATAGAGGAGTTTCATCCAAAAGTCAACCTGGTTGTTTTTTAAACATAAAAAACATTACAAACATGGTTGACAAAAATGACAAACATGATGCACAAAAATAACAAAGCTTACAAATATTACAAAACATACTAACAGTACAAAATGTCACTACTTACCATACAAAATAGCAAACTTGTATTACAAATCAATCAAAAATAAAGTATACAAACTAGAAAAACAAACATTACAAATTACAATATTTAAAAATTAGTCATATAAACATTACAAAAATATAATAAATAAAAATGATAAATTAGAATGATAAACGATGCAAACGAATTGATATAAAATCACAAAATAGACTTACAAACATTACAAAGTAGTCCAACAAACATAACAAAGCAGACATTGTCGTCGGGAAATCCATCGTCGCCGGCAAATCCTCTCCTTTGCCGGTAAACTTAACTTGCCACCGCCGGAAAATTCGCTGATGATTGAAAATCTCTCTCTCTCTGCGAGGAAACTTCATGGAGTGGAAACTTCTCTCTGGGAAAATAATTTTCCACGCCACCTCCCTCCCTCTCTTTTCTCTGGCCGCGGGGAAAGAAGATGAGACGCCATAAAAAAATTGGCCAACCAGAGGGGGGGGGGGGAGGAACGCCAACCGGCGGGACAGAAGTAAGGTGGAAAGAACCGCCGACCTGTCCAATTATTATTTTAATTGTTAAATAAATAAATAAAATGAAATTACCATTGTATCCTTCATTAAATGAGATTAATTTAGATCATTAGATTAGAATTTAAATGAGTAGCTAGGTTTGGTTTAGTCATATGACTAAGAACCCCCCTAGTCACCTGATCTTAGCCCCTATGAGTATATATTCACCAAAAGTCAAGGCTTGTGAGCACCATAACTAGGTGCGATTAGGGCTGAAAGTTTGGTATCGATAAATGGGATATACCAACCCTCAACCACCAAGAGTCTCATTTAATTATACATAGATCATTTCATCACTATTTCACAACTTAGAAGTCATCATGCCACTCAAATTTCACTTTCAATTTAAGTCACTCTCGTCTCTCACGTAATCTCTTATAATTTTCTTAACACCAAATGAAAACACTAGTATTAGTCGTCTCTCAACCTCCAATCGTCAAATTAAACATTACCAATGACAAGATCTTGACATATCACCTCTCCTCCATTCTCCTTATCCATATCCTTGCTCTAAGTGATAGCATCGTATTTGCACGTGTTTTCACTCTGGTTTCCTGTCCATTTTGGCTCGAATTGATTGTTCCTTGGCCTATTTTACGCTAGGTTGTGTTGTTTTGTCGTATTTCAGGTCCTAGCAAGTAAAGAGGGGCAAAGGCGCAAGTTTCGGGTCATTTGGAGGTCAATTGGCGAGTCACAGAGAGAATTACGGGCAGCCCCTGCTAAATTACGGCCGTAATTAGTCAGGGCATGCCCGTAATTAATTGGACGAGCTTTCTCCCCAGCAATTCTTCTCGGTGGTGAAATTACGGGCAAGACCCCCAGGAATTACGGCCGTAATTCCCTAATTACTGGCGGTAATTGGGAAATTACGGCCGTAACTTCTCCCCCTGCAGCTGAAGTAAAACGCGCGTTTTGGTGTGAATTACGGGCAGGAAGTGATTACGGCCGTAATTCTGCCCGTAATTCGCCCAGAGTCGGGTTTTTGAAGGCAGATTCGAGCCAAGGAGAGGGAATTCGATTTTCTGGGCAAAAACATAGTTTTAGAGAGAGAAAGAGCGAAGAACAAACCCTAGGAGCTATTTTGGAGTGGATTTCTCATCATTGAAGCCCAGATTGCGTCCCTAGGAGTGAAGATTGACATCCCAGAGCATATTTTCCTCATCTTTATGAGTATGACTACTCTGATTTCTGTTTTCTCTTCTCTCACTTGGGTATGAAGAACCCTAGTTCCTTGTGTTAGGGATTTGATTGTAATGACTTGGGATGATATTATTGTTTGATTTTAATCGAATGATGCATGTTTCATGAATTGATTTGAGTCTGATCAGCTTGTCTCAATTTCTGCTTCAACCTGAGATAGATAGAATCTGATTAGGTTGTTAGAGCTTCTTCATTCGATAGTAGGAGATTGGCTATACGAGAGTTAGCCAGTTTACTGCTTTGTACTGGTGTTCTTAACGCCAGTAGTGGAGTTCTGTGTTCATAGCCTCAGCTTTCTATCCCGGTGAAGACTAGTCGTCTGCCGGGTAGTTAGACTGAGAGGGCTTGGTCAGCTTAAGAGATTCCAAGCTACTGTCGGATCTTCCGCAGTCTAATCAACAGTAAATCAACCCAGGGAATTGCAATTGAACCTAACCAAGGGGCTAGGGGGACTCAATCCCGAGTGACTCTTGCCTGCTTTTGAAAACCGAACCATTTCCTGTTTTCTTACTGCTTTTGCTTTAAACAACAATCACTCGAATTAGTTTGCTAGATAATAGAGAATCACGGAGTAAGCAGTAGATCTAGACCCCGGGTTGATAATATAACTTGCCTGTTACTGCATTCCCGGACTGCGATTACACTTGGTCGCAGTTTGGTGTTGTGTTTTGGCGTGTCAAGTTTTTGGCGCCGTTGCCGGGGAACCCTCTAGGTTATTGGGGAAACGTGATAATTTGTTACTCTAGCTTTTATTTACTGCATTTTATCTCTTCCACCTGTGTGCCTTCACGGGTTGCTTCTACTGATTGTGTGCAGGTAGTGCATGACCCGTAGCCAGTCGGGAGATCTACTACCATTAGACCAGGAGCTTGAACGAACTTGTAGGAACTTCAAGCGGGCTCTAAAGGCGCGACTGGCTGCGGAGGAGGCGCTGTCACAGCTGCAGTTAGGAGAAGAAGAAGAAGAAGAAGGCGAGATGGGGGATCCGCAGAACAACGATCTGATCCCCGGGAAGCAGACCATGGGATCCTACTGGACCGCTAGGGCTGCGGACATGAGGTCACCTATTCAACACCCTCAGGTCCCAGCCAACAACTTTGAGGTGAGCACCTCCGTGATCACCATGCTGCGCGGTTCAGTAGTGTTCCGTGGTAAGTGTCGCAACCGCCCCTCGAATCGGGGGGACCCGTCGCGTCATGCTCGGAGTCGCCATCGACCGCGCTTTCGGGTGGGTCGAACACCCATTTCCGGTTTGTTACTTAGGTTAAAACCAGAAATCTGGTCTGCGAATTTTAGATTTTTCTAGGTTCGGGAGTACAGTTACGTGTGAGGAAGTGTATTCACACCCCACAACGCCCCAAATGGGTACTACTTAAATCGATAAGTTTTTTAAGAATTGGGTGTATCATTGTTTGCGGCTTTCTTGATGTATTTAATTATATGAATTGATTAATTAAATAGATATTATTTAAAATTTGTTAATTACGTATTTGGTGTCCAATTGGACTAATGAGTTAAAATTGATATACAATTAGATTATCCGTCTATTGACGCAAAATCTAGAAAGTAAAGAAAATATTTTTTATTAGTTGGACTCGAACCTATTGGTTGCCTACGTACCCGAGTTAATCGGGATCAAAGTCCACGTAGTTCGTTGAATTGAAAAGGTGACTTTAACACGTTCTATTGATATGTGATTAAGATTTGATGTTGGATAATTTAGAAAAGTGAAGCAAAGTTTAATTCTTTGTAATTCTAATTTGAAAGTTCGATGACTTTCGAATAAACTTAATACAAGAATGCTATAATGATCTATCGACCGTTGATATTTCGTATTAAGAAAATTTGGTGAACATCACCTACGTAGAATATTATTTAAACAAATGAAGTTAATAACCCTTAGGAGGTAAGAAATTAATGATTTCATTGAGGTTAAAATGGAATTCCACGAGATAAACGGAGTAATTTGACTCATTTGAGTATGAATTACGTATTAAGCTGATCGAAGTTATAGTGGATTTTACTTAAAATATGGGCAAGTGGCAGGTGATCAGCCTAGTGGTTTAAAGTCTTAATAAGAATTAATTAATTACAACGAATTGTCTAGCGGTTCGAATCTTTCCGGAAACAAAATTTTAGTATTGTTTCCGGTCTTCTTAAAAACGGCGTCGTTTGGGACGCGTCTCTAAAGCTGAACCAAAAACCCTAATTCCTCCGCTCATCCTCTCTCTTTTCCTCTCTGACCCGAAGCAAACACGACCCTTCTTCTCTCTCACTCTCTCGTCTCTTCTCTCATCCCTCTGAAATCAAAATCAAACGCGAACAGAAAAAGAACAAAACCCAAAACCTCCCATTCGTTTGAAAATCGATCTGCCTCTTTCCTCTCTTTTCCTCGTGTTGGCGACAAGGAGAGTAGAACGATGACAACGGCGGCGAAATCGAGGGCCTTCGACGTCGACGATGGTGTTGACTGCGCCGATGAAGGTAAGACCTCGGTTAATTTGGGTTTGCATGTCGGTTCTTGGTTTGATTGTGAGTTGGGGGACTTTTAGGGTTCTAATCGGTTCTGTTTTTCTAGATTATCGGCTTCAGGGAAAATAGGGAAAACGAATGGCGACGGCTCTGGGTATTACCGGCGGCGAGGGTAAGAGGTTTTTTGCTTGCATGTCGTATTTTTCATTCGATTTCGACTTGGGGTAAGTTTCTTATACATGTTTTTTTTGGCTCACCTCTGTTTATTTTTTTTGGCGGAGGTTGACGAGGGAAGGAATGGCTAGCGAGAAGAAGAGTCACCGCCGGCAAGCTCTGGTGACAGTGCCGCCCGTTGACTCGTCAGAGGTGAGAATCAAATTTTATTCTTGGTTTGACTTGAGGGGTTTTAGTAGATTCGGACCTGTTTTGTTTTTGTTGTTGTGGGTTTCAGTAATGAAATTGGTGGTTATCTTAGGCGTATTTGGGATTTTTTTGGGTTTGATTGAGTGATGGTTTTGAAACTGAATTGTGGGTGTTTGTGGTGGGTTTAAATCTGGAAACTGGCCGGTGTACACGGTGGGCTTGAATATGGAATTTTCTTGTACATGGTAGATTCGGTTTGGGAAGTTTATGGGTTTATGGTACCGGTTTATGAATCTTTGTTTTTGAAATCAAGGATAGTTTTTGCTAATGTGGTTTTGTGATTGATTTTGGCATTATTTTGGGATTTTGGGGTTTTTGAAATATGAAATTCGGTGATGATTTTGATTTTGTGTTTGGTTATTAATCGAATGAGTATGAGATCGTTTGGGTGTGATGGACTTGTACGGGTCGTTTGCTTCATGGATTTAAAAAATGAGGGTTTTGGTAAAACGTGGGTTTTGGAAAACCATGGATATATGATGGATTTGGTGGCATTATGGATTTGACCAAGTCTATTGTTTGCTTGTTGGATTTGATTATAGATTTTGTTTGAATAGATTTGTGGATATGAAATTCAAATTACCTTGTTACCCTTATCATCTAATTATATTTCTATATTATAATCCATAAATTTCATTAAAAAATCCAACGCATACAATGAAATTTTAAACTCTTTACCACTATGTGGACTAATAATTCAACTACAAATATATAAATGTATTATAGTTTGGCACTAATTAACAACTCATCTAATAATGTACGCAATATTATGTATCAATTGTAAACAATTGCTCGCTTTATTGCTACAACTCATCAACTTCTTGCTAACTCCCCAATTTTGGAATCCGACAATCAATCAAATAATAATGCACAAGACGAGCATAAGATGTTTATAGTTGAATCTAACAAATCACATATACATTCATATTTAAATAAACTATGATATTACAAAACGAAATGAAAAATTCTCATATATATAAAATACGACATTATAAAAGTTTATAATTGCATGACCATTGAATTAAAGTAGGACAACTTTGTAATTAAAGTAATACGTAAGGGTAGAAAGGTAATTTACCATCATGGATTTTAATCCATCACCCAAATCCCACCTCAAGAGGTGGAACTTCCAAGTCCGTGGGGTCCACGGATTTGGAACCTCAAAAGTGGCGGGACCCACAAATTCCATCTCCCTAATTCCCTAAGGCAAACGATGGATTTCCGTTAAAGTCCATGATGGATAGATTTCCATCACCAAATCCATCACCAAAACCCTCAAGCAAACGACCCGGTAATTACCAAAACTGCGAGGGTTTAGAGCTGAATTACTGCAGAAATGGTTTAAACTGCAAAACATTGATTATTTATTGAATGACTTATAAACACTGCTATTGCTTGTGATTATGAAGTCTTAGCTATTCTAATACCTTCCTTTGGTTAAGTCTAGTGAGTCTACTTAGGTTTTTGCATATGATTCTTGGTTTGTAGTGCTTGCCAAATTGTGGTTTGGAAAATTAGGGGGTTTGGGATGTTAGTTTAATGCAATATAAGATGGAACAACCTAAAACTAACTTGAGCAATAAGCAAAGAAAGAAACCAAAACTGTTTGTTTGTTATAATATACTTCCGCATGGTAAAACATAAATGGAGGTCACAAAAGAATCACAGATCTGATTTTGGTTGGTTAAAGTCGTTAATACTGGGTAGATTGAGATTAGTTCCTCTCTTGAACTACTTTGTGAAAGAAAGCTTGAAGTGGAGACAATAAAATGATGATGAACGATAATAAGTGGGTTTGCATGTTACCAACCATTGATTATTTGATGGTTGGTGATGGTTTTGACCTTTGTAGAAGATCTTTTCCCCTTTTTGATGCTGCCTTTGCTTCCTCTTAGTTCTCCTTGTCTTTTTTGTTGTTGTTGTTAGAGCAAGAAGAAGGAAGGAAGAGAGGTGGAGAATTCACATGATTTGGCTCTCTGTGTTTGTATGGGTGAAGAAGTCTGAATGGTGTCGTTTTGTTTTTTTATCTATTGAAAGATAGGAAGCATGGAAGATTTTCTTTCCACTGCCTGTTCTCTTTTTGCCCTCTGTTTGTATGTGTTTTAGTGGCCGAGAATTTTTGCAGGGTTTTTGTTCTTCGCTCTCTGTTTGTTCAGAAAAGGAAAGCGGGGAAGAAGAAAGAAGAAGAGAAGTCCTCTCCCGTCCGAGGGGGAAAGGAGACTTCCCGTCCGAGGGGGAAAGGAAGTCTATGGTTTTTGCAGAGTTCTTTTTCTCTGTGTCTGGACAAGAAAAGAGGAGGAAGGAGTGGAGAGGGCAAGGCCCTCTGTTCTTCATTTATGGTCGTGTGTTTTGTGGAGGAAGGGAGTTTCCAGGAAGAAGAGGTGGAAGAAGAAGGAGAAGAGAAGATGATACTCTGTTTTTTAGCAGGGAGGGGTAGAAGAAGAAGAAGAAGAAGAAGAACTGCCTGTGGGAGCGATGAGAAGGAGAAGAAGCCCTCCAAAACCTCCCCTCATGTAAGAGCAAAGGAGCTCTTTTTATAGCAAATTGCTGCTTGGGGTGCAAGAAGGCTACAGTACCAGTTGTGGTTTTGGGTTCAACCAGTCTGTTGGGTCAGAGCTTACTAGGTTGACTTTGGTTGACCGATTTTGACTCATGTTGACTGACTTAACCAACTTGACTTATTTATTTCTAAATTTTGTTCTGTAATAGTTATTCAGATTATTATGTCATTTATAGTTCTAATTAAATTCAATTGTAGTTCTAATATAGTTTATTTTTTTAATTCATTTTTTTTTTCTCTTATTGTCTTGAAATCAAAGCTCAATCTAATCAAAAGCCTAACCGTCTATGTATATAATTTAATCGTCAACCTAAAGGAAACCAAACCAAGCAAACTGCTTAAAATTAGGTTGTCTCAATCAGACTTGATTCATCCCAAACATTACAAATACGCTTTTAACATTACAAATATGCTTTTAGTTAGAAGATTTTATTTAGAAGATTGTTTAAGAAGTACGCTTTTAACATTACAAATATGCTTTTAGTTAGAAGATTTTATTTAGAAGATTGTTTAAGAGTTGCTATTGCCAACTTTACACAATCAAGTTTATTTAATTAAATTGTATTTTAACCCGGACGAAAAGTGGTGTCTACAGTAAGGAGGGAGAGTGCCCTCGATCACATCTCAGGCGATTCCACGAGCTCATCGATGGAATCAAGATCAATGGGGTACCAGCAGATGCCATCCAGTTGAGGTACTTCCCATTCACTCTGGAGGGGCAGGCCAAGGAGTGGCTAGACACTCGACCTCCGGGCTCCATCACCACGTTCGCCAACCTGGCGGACAAGTTCCTCACCCGCTACCATCCTCCATCCAAGACAGCTGATCTCCAGAAGCAGATTACACACTTTTCTCAGGATGAGGATGAGACCATTAGGGATGCTTGGGAGAGGTACACCAGCCTCTTTCTCAGGTGTCCCAACCATGGTTTCAATGATGCGTTTAAGGTGGGCACTTTCTATCACGCCCTCTTCCCGGAGGACAAGCAGCTGATCGATTCGGTTTGTGGCGGGAACATGCTGACCAAAACCCCGCCACAGCTGAATCAACTCTTTGAGGAGATGGCGGAGAATGGTTATGACTGGGGCACTGCCAGGAGATCGAGACGAGCACCTGGAAGGGGTGTGCATGCTGTGGGCACCCAGTCATCTGATCTGGTGCAGGTGGTATCGAAGCTGGTTTCAGCTATCGATCGTTCTGGTTTGATTGCAGGTACCGGATAGCCGCAGGCGATGCATTGCCAGTGGTGTGAGAGCTCTCATCACACCGTGGAGGACTGTCAGGCTATGAGGGAGTCGTCCACTCCCCAGGAGCAGGTGGATTTCATCGGGAATGCCAGGCGCTTTGACCCCTACAGCAACACCTATAATGAGGGGTGGCGCCAGCATCCTAACTTTTCTTGGGCTGGGCCAAATCCCAGACCACCAGCTCCGCAGGGACCTCCCGGTTTCCAGAGGCCTCCATACCAGCCCAGACAGGGGCAATTTCAGCAGCAACAGCAGCCACTCTACCAGCCCAGACAGGGGCCAGTTCCACCTCAGTCGCAGGCACGACCATTTCCACAGGCAGGGGCAGCCCCAGCACAGGTTGACCCGATGGAGGAACTGAGAGATCTGGTGGGTTCTCTGGCCTCCTCCAGTGCGAGTAAGTTCACTAACATTGAGCAGTTCATGGAGAAAGCTTCTGGCAAGTTCTTGGAGCTGGAAGCTGGTCAGAGAAACACGCAGGCTGTGCTGCGAGATATACAGACCCAGCTTGGTGGTGTTGCCCAGGCTGTTGCTCGACGGAATCCAGGTACCTTGCCTGGTCAGACCATCCCTCACCCGCAGAACCAGGATGAAAACTGCAGTGCCATCACAACCAGGAGTGGCAAGGTGACTGCCGATTCACCTGTTCGGGCAGCGGAGAAAGAGACCCCTGCTTCAGCACTTCCAGCTAATCAGGAAGAAATGGAGAAGGAGGTTGAGGTGCCTGCTCCTACACCGCAACCAGTGGTGAAGGAGTATGTACCACAGCTTCCCTTTCCTACTCGGTTGCACAAAGACCGACTGGAGACTGAGTTTGCCAAATTCATGGCAATGCTGAAGCAGGTGAATATTAGCATGCCCTTCGTGGAGGCATTATCGAAGATGCCCAAGTATGCCAAGTTCATGAAGGATCTCCTCACCAACAAGAGGAAGCTTGGGGAGCTGTCTACGGTGATGCTAAACGAGGAGTGTTCTGCCATCCTGCAGAACAAACTACCAGAGAAGCGAAAAGATCCAGGGAGTTTCACTATCCCTTGCATGATTGGTAGTTTGCATGTAGGGAAGTCCTTGGCGGATTTAGGCGCTAGCATTAATGTCATGCCATATTCATTGTTTAAAAAGCTAGGCCTAGGTGAACCAGTAATACTAGGATGAGCATCCAGCTTGCTGATAGATCTATTGTGCATCCTAGGGGTATAGCAGAGGACTTGATAGTCGCAGTAG